ATAAGAACAGGGGGCAACTGAATTAAAAATGGTTTAAAAAGAAGTGTCTTGGCTTCTCTGCTTTAAAGCCAAGTTGCCAGAAGGAAAAAAACCTTTAACACTTTTGCTTTTTTCTTTTTCCAGGCAAAAAGCAAACGCCCATTGCTCATGCTTAGACTATGAATCGGTTACATTTACAAGGCAAATTTTAATTCATACAGCAGGTGTTCAGAAATATATATTAAAAAAAAAAAAAGAAAAATCCTCCTTTAAGCAGCACAAGACCAAACTAAGGATTTGCATTAGTTCATGCAGCTCATTCACTGAAATAGGAGCTGTGTGTGTGAATGAGGAGCAGAGACCTCCAAAATCTGTTCCAGAGTCGGGGCAGGGGGGGGAAGCCTTGAAGAGCTGCTGCCAAATCTGGGGGCTGGCAGCCTGCACAGCATCCCGACCCTGCTGCACCTTGGGGACAGAGGGCAGCGGGAATTTTGCATGGGAAGATCTAGATGAGCACCAGGCAGAGGAGGAATTCAGCCTCCAACAAAAGAGCCGCTTTGGGCAGCTCAATCGGTGCGCAGGCAATTACAGTGTTTGGAGGGTCTATTCTTCCCAGGCAGCTAGGCGAAATCCCGGGAAAGCAGGCGGATCCAGCAGCCCCCTCCCTGCTCCCGGCCTTTATTCAATCGCTGGAGACAACAGGAGGAGCCGGGCAAGCTCTGCCAGCCCCGCAGCTGGGATGCAGGAGCTGGAGCGTTTTCCCTGCATCCCTCCATGCAGGGATGGGACTGAGTGACCCTGGCAGGAGAGGTGACAGCCTGCCCTGCTCCATCGGGAAGTTTCCCATTGAATAGGGGGAGGAAAATGTTCTGCCAGACAAGTGAGGTTCAATTATTCCAAGTCTAGAATGTCTTGTTGGAAATGCTTCCAGACTGACAAGCTTTAATCCAATAAAAGACCCTTCCAGACAAGCCCTGCTGTGATTTTGGGAGCATTTCCCCCTGGCAGGGACCCAGCAGCCCCCAGCTCCTCACTGGGGATGGATTTAGCCCCAGGCACAACAATATCACAGGGCGGCCTCAAGGCACAGGACACTCACTGAGCTCACTGGAAGCTTGAGCAGAAGCAAAGCAAGAACAGCCACTCCATTTCAGTCTGATACAACCCAAAAGTCAAAAAAAAAAAAAAAAAAAAAAAGCAAATAATTTCCTGTGAACCAGAAATCTGGGTTTTAGCCAGTTTAATGAGACTCAATTGCAAGTGGTTCTGTTCTCCTGGGGTGCTGGAGACACACGACTCCCCAAGGCAGGGCAGATGGCTGGATTGCAATCTAGCCTTTAGCTCATAAAATATATTAATATCCCCAACCAATTATAAAGTGCCAGACTGTGCCCCTCTGGGCCCACTCCCACCTAGCGATGCCTCACTGCACAAGGCAGTCCTGTTGAGCTCAGACATGCAGCACCTGCCAGGGCAGCACAGCCTGTAGCTTTCCAGGGCTTTTAAAGCAAGTCCGAGCCCTTGCTCCATCATCATCCAAGAGCTCAGCGAAGTCTCAGGTGCAATCAAGGTGCTGTACAAAAATCCAGCTCCTCAACATCATTCCTTTGTTTTATTTTTTTAGGTGCTTGTCAGCGGTAAAGCAGAAGGAGCCTTCCCTTCCAGGCAGACGGCTGTACAAGGATCACTGCCTTCAGCACCCGGCCTTGGCACAGGCTTATTCCCAAAGCTGGCAGATGCCTCACACCACCACGAAGAGCTCGGCTGCTTCTTGGAAGCACCAGCGAGCACCTCAGATCAGCAGCAGCGCTCCCTGACAGTCAGCTGGCATTAGCTCCACAAATGTCACCAGCACACCGAGCCTCAGCCCCGCGTATTTGTAGGGCTCTCATCAGAAAACCTCTGGAGTCTTTCCCCTGACTTCAGCAGAACTTCACATCCAGGACCTCAGCTCCTCAGGAACAACTTGTTCTGTGCTCCTGTGCCCACAGCCTTGGGGCATGGGATGTCCTGGATGTCCCCGTCCTCATGCTGCTCACCATCAGTGCCACACACTCAGTGCCCACCATCGCTGCCACCCACATGGGCAGATCCCAGGATGCTGCAGCCACCTGCAGGGCCACACTGGAGCACCACAGTGCCCTCGGGGATAGGGTCACACACCCCGAGGTCACACCTGGGTGTAGCCCATGACACCATCACTCCTTGACCACAGCAGTCCTGTCCCCTGTGGCACTGCCGGGGGGGAACAGGCAGCACCAGGGAGGTGCTCCAAGGGCAGAACCAGTTGCTGACCAGGAAGCCCATGCCACACTTAGCCACACATTTCTCCCAGCAGAGACAAGCTAACAAACAAGACCCTCAGTGTTCTACAGATCCTCCCAGAAATATCCTGATTTTCATGAGCATTGCTAAGTCCCAGAATCGCAATCTTGAGTCAGGACAGTTGGATGCATCTGATTCAAGAATGATTCAGATGGGAGCGTGGAGGCAGGCAGGAAGGCAAGGGAGTGACATTTTCTGCTCTGGGCAACATGTCTTTATTTAAAGCTCAAAGATACAAACTTGATGGAAAAAAGGCACTCTCTGCCCTGGCTGCTCCCGTGCTGATCCTGAGGAACAAGACCATCTTCTTTATCCTCAGCTTTCACATCCATGCCTTCATTTCCATTTCTTTAAATAAATTTAAATCCTGCTAGCACCTTGAACACAAGTTATCTCTGTAACCACATGGAACACAATCCTGAGCCCTCAAACAAGGAAGGCTTAAGCTGCCTTCCCAAGTAATGAGCAGGAGGAAAGCTCCAGCTCACCCTCCCTGGCTGCTCCTGCTTGTTCCCCACAGGGTCAGAGGCAGAGCAGAGGCATTCAGGCAGTGGACCCATACACAGTGGGAAGACTTCTTCCAAAAGATTTAATGGCTGGATCAGAGGAGAAGTCACTTAGAGCTGCAAAAGGGATGATGGCACAAGATCCTGAAACTACCTTCAACAACTCAGCTGTTTCTGTCCTACCAGGATTTGGGAGCTCCCAACCCCTCGAGGGGCACAGCCCCAGCGTGGCAGGGTCTGGCTGCTGATGGCTCCATGGCCTGGACCAGTCTTTCCTCTACAACAATACTGTAAGTGCTGTGGGGACCCCCCAAACCTGCCCTCACCACACCTCCTGCCAGAAGGGCATGCACAGACCTTTCTCCACATGCCCTGCACAAAAGCAAAACTCTCCACCTCTCCAGCTGGATGAAGCCAGCTCCCCTCCTCAACCTGTCACTTCCCCTGTGCCCAGCCAATTACTCAGGTCATCCCAACGCCCCCAGGGATTTGCCAGGCTCCTCTGCACAAGCTAAACCCATCAGCTAATCCCACACAAAGCTGCAGCCACCACCCATGGAGGGGCTCTGGCTGCACCTCCTCCATCTGAGCAGCAGCACCCCAGCTCGAGGTGGCCCCACGCCAGCAGCTGGGGACCCAGCAGTCACTGACTCAGCTTTCACACATTTCCAGGTGACACCTTCCCGTGGTTAATGCTCCAAGCCACCTGCATTTCCGGCCCTGTGGCTGCAGCAGAAATTGTTCATTGTCCCCTCCTAGGTGGTGCAGAGGTGAGGAGTCAGACCCAATGTCACCTCTGGGAGCTGGTGACACAGGAAGGCAGGTGAGGCATGACAAAACACCGGGGAGGAGAGAAGTAAAGACACCAATACCCCGGGTTTGGGTGCTGAGCCAGCACAGCAAGGCTGTGAAAGGACATTTGGGTTTTTCAGCCCACCCACCTGCTGTGCATGGGGCAGGAAGAGAGACAGAACAAAACATCCTTCAAAGAGACCCATGTTACTCAACTAAGAACCATGTGGAATTGAGGATTTTTGTTCCACAGGCAGGGAAAGTCCAACCAGGACCATGCTGGCCACAGCAGCTGCATCTCTGCTCCAACACAAGCATCCACCCGATGAGCAGCCATTCCCAAGCCAGCAAAGCTCCAGCTCCTGCTTAAAATGAGACTGTTGGGGATTAAAGGAGGAGGCAGACTCTCAACAGTGGGTGCTGAAGGCTTTGGCGATAAGGCGGGGGATACCTCTAAGCTTGTCTCCACAAACATAAGGATTAGCAATTTACTTCCCTTAGAAACAAAATCCAGGATTTTAACATGATCACAGGCTTGGAAAGAAAAATAAACATAATGAAACTCAAAAAAGGAGGAGGACAAGAATAGAGCAAGCAGGCAGCTCGAGGAAAACTGAAGTGCTTCCTAAATCGGAATGAGAAATGCACCAAAGTCAGAATTGAAATCTTGGTAGCTCTGAACACCACTGGCCCTGATGCCTCTCACACCAACCTCTTATCAGTGATAACGCTATGAACATTAAGGGAAGCTTTCCTAATAATGTGCATGAAAAAAGGCCCATTTGTTTAATGCAACAGAGCACATAACACATTAATTACCTACTGAGTTGGAAAAGTGATGTTGAAAACATGCTGGAATTAAAGCAAACGGAGGGTTTCAGCTAAGCCCATTATGTCCACTGGCTTTGCTGTGGCTTTGGTGCTTAACACCTTTGAGAGCAAACCTCTGCACAGCTCACAGCAGATGGGGCAGCACAGAAAACCCCACAAAACCCACGGAGAGCAGCTCCCACGCAGAGCACGGCTGTACCATCCACCCCAGGCTCCCCCATCACTCAGAGGATGCTGCCAAGCCCAGCCTCTCCTCCTGATGCTGTCTCATCCACCCTCAGGTGCCCCAAAACCTGCCCAGCTCTGGGGCACAGCAGCAATCCCCCCTCAGCCAGGGCTAATCTCAACCTGCCACGCTCAGGACTCACAACCTGGCCTCCTGGAGAACATAATCTGCCCATGTGCTCCTGCCCTGGCCATCACCACAGTGTAAAGGCACCAGAGAGCAATTTTGTGATTAAGTGGCTGTAGCCATTAATAATTAGCACCTTAAAACTCCAAAGGGTGATGTTGGCCTCTACAATACAGCCTCAGCACACGCAGGGGTGGTGGAGGGGAGTGCTGATCCTCAGTGCTCCCTTTTCCCGAGTGAGAACTGAAGCACAGGGGTTAGACACAGAATTCCCCAGATTTCCATCCCTGACAGCTGTAGTGGCAGAAGACATAGAGGATGTTATGTAAGCATCCTACATGAATCTGGGAGCATCCCAAAGCCACTGCTAAACCAGCCACCCCATGCACTTGCCACCCTGCCTGCAGGAGCAGGATGCTCTTGATGAAGCCTTTGGAGTTCAGGGTGGGAGACCCAGTGCCAATGGATACTAATGGATACCAATGGAAACAAACACAACACAGAGGTCAGAGAGGGAAATGTGCTGGAGGAAGCTCAGGATGTGAATGTGGATCCCCTGGTTAGCACCCAGAGGGTCGCACTGTGCTGCTCAGTCCATTCTGTACGATCAGGCACAAGAGAAGAAACTGCTTTTCCTTTAAGAACATTCAACTTATCCTGCCTTTATCAGCAATTCCCAATCTTAAGCCATTCTGTTTCTTCCAGAAAAAGCAAAGAGAGAAACCTCAACAGAAAAAAGCAAATTAAAGTCTGAAAAACAAGCAATTCCAGATCTTCAGTCGATTTTATTTCAGATCAAATGAAAAAAGTTGATTAATCCCCTTGTTCAGACTGCTAACACTACCAGAACAGACTGCATCCGTTTCACATCAGAGGAAGCTCAACGTACTTAAGCCAAACATCTTCCAGGCAAAGAGAAAAAATAAATATAAAACAGGAAAGAATCAGTGCTATAGTATTTGCATGTGTCTGAAGATACAGCTTTGGAACTGCAGAGTGAAGCCAAGCTCTCCAGTAAAATAAGTGGACAAAGCTCCATCCTTGGAGTCCAGCACGGCTATGCCTATTTAATCTATAGGTAAACTGAAATATCAGTTTTGAAGAACATCAGTGTTTCACCTCCCAGCAAGTGACCAGTGCTGTCAGTGTGTACTACATCCAGAAGGAGCTTCACCTGAGAGCACAGTCCTCACATCCACTCTTCACCTCTCTCCTCCTTACACCTTCCATTGATAATTCCATGTATTCCTGTTGCCACAGCACCTTCCTCAGCTCTGATCACCACAGGGGCAGGATGCGGCCTCGCACAGGATGCACTGAGACTCATCATTCCCAGCACAGATGAAATTGGGGCTCATTTCTGTCCTTGCACACTCATCAAATACCATGTGAGCACCCCAGCACTCTCTGAGCTGCTAACACACCTCCTGACACTGTAAGAACATGGGCTCTGGTGACCCCAAGTCATCACTAATCCTGCTCTCTCTCTGCTGCCAGCACGTCGAGGTAGGACACCAGGCACGCTTGATGGTTGCAGAGTAACTCGACCTACAAAGTCCCATCGGGGGATGCCGAGGCCAGCACCCACACTGCTGGACACCGCCTGGATGCAAGGTGATGGGAAGGACCCGTCTGCATCTCCTCCACGGGGAGCACGGTGCATGCCAGGGACCACTGCCTGAAGGACGCTCCGGGTAGCCCGGACCAGCCCCTGCCCCAAAAGCACCGGTAACAGCCCCGGCAAGGCACAGCTGCCCCTCCAGCCGCATCCCAGGGCGGCACAGCGGCGGCACCCCGCACGCAGCCCCGCGGGGAGGCGATGCTCGGGGGGTCCCGCACGGGGGTCGCCGCAGCCGGAGGGGCCCGGGCAGCCGCCGCCCCGTCCCCGTCCCCGGCCGCGCCTTTGTCCGCCCAGCGGAGGATGGGGCGCAGCCCGGTCCCGCTCCCCGCCGGTGGCCCGGTGACATCGCCTCGCCGCGGGCCGCTCACCTGCGGGGCCGCTGTCCGCAGCCGCCTCCTCCTCCTCCTCCTGCTGCTGCTGCTCCTCTTCCTCCTCCTCCGCCACCGCCTCCTCCTCCTCCTCCTCCGGCGGCGGCGGCGGCGCCGGGCTGCCCCGTGCGGGCGCGGCGGTGCCGCGGGGCCGTGCGGGCGGCAGCGTGCCCAGGCTGCTCTCAGCGGGGCCGCCGCTGCCGCTGCCGGGCTCGGCGGGCGGCGCGGCGCTGGCGGGCAGCGCGGCGGTGGCGGCGGCCAGCAGGGCGGCGAGGCACAGCAGGGCGAGCGCGGTGCTCGGCCGGCGCCTCATGGTGCGGCGCGGGGCTCCGCCATGCACTCGCTCATTGACGCGGGCGCTCGCACACGCACCGAGCGCGGCCGGGAGCGGCGCCGGGCGGCGGCGGCTCCTCCCGCCGCCTCAGCCAGCCATGCCGCGCCCGCGCCCTGCGCCCCTCCGGCGGCTCCCGCCGCGCCGCGCCCCGGCTGACAGCGCCGCGCCCGCCCCGCCCCGCGCCGCCGCGCCCAATCAGCGCCGCGCCCGCCCTACCTGACGGACCGCCGCAGCCAATCAGCGCCGGGCGGGGGCGGGCCGGGGGGCGGCGCGCGGCGGGGAGGGGGCGGCATTGTGAGGGCGTGAGGGGCGCCGGGCCGGAGCCCCCGGCAGCGGCGGCGGGTTAGGGCCGGCTGCCTTTCTCAGCGGGGCGTGCCTGCTCGATTTGTCAGGATACGGGGTTTTAAAGGTTTTAACTTTTTGTCGTGTTAAAAATTTTTATTAAAAAAATTAAATTTTCCCCCATCCTCCCCAGTTTTGGGAAACAACGAGGAAGGCGCCGGGACACAAAGCGGTTCTCGGGAAGGGGTGCTGCTCCTTGCAGGGCTCTGGAGGGACATGGCAGGTCGGGGGTGTCACGACCCCCCCGGCAGCCACCTGCATCGGCGTGCCCTGCCCGCCTCCTTTAAAAAAAAAAACAAAAAGGTGTGTGAGGTGTGAGGCTTTGTGCCGCTCCTCTGCCGGGGATGGAGCTTTCCCCAGCACAAGGACAATGACACCTGGGCCCCCCAGGCTCCACAGCGGCAGTGACCTTGGCCAAGCCCCCCGGTCCCGGAGGGAGGAAGCACGGTGACACGGATATCCATTACCCACGGAGCCCGGCTGGGAGATCGCCGCCTCACGCCCGCTGCAGCCCGGCAGGAACGCGCTGCCAGCCCCGCTCGGATCAACACAAAGGCACGTGGAAGCACGGCTGGGATGTGCTGGAGGAGCTGGGTGGGCCGGGCAGAGCCGCAGGGCAGCAGCGGCAGCATCCCTACACATCCCACCGCAGGAAGGGGCAGAGCACTGGAGCTTGGCGGCTCTCGGCTGCTCGGCCCTGCCCGCAGGTGTGCGGCACTGCCAGGTGAGTGTTTGCATCACCTCTTGTTCCTGCAGAAGCCAATGGACGCTGACAAGTGTCCTTTGGGATGGGACAGCCCCACTGACAAGTGTCCTTTGAGATGGGACAGCACCACTGACAAAGTGTCCTTTGGGATGGGACAGCCCCACTGACAAGTGTCCTTTGCGATGGGACAGCCCCACTGACAAAGTGTCCTTTGAGATGGGACAGCACCACTGACAATTGTCCTTTGGGATGGGACAGCCCCACCTTCACCCACCACATGGTCTAGGCTGCCAGTCCTTCTCTAGCACAATATTTAGGAGTTGCCTCCAAGGCAAACACTGCCCAGCGTAGCTGCTGTGGGATAATTGTTCTGCAATCACTCACTGCTCTTCCCCCATACCCATGCCCTTCTCAGAAATAAACAGGACTTTATTCCTGCATACTAATAGAATTATTATTCCCCAGCAGCTCTGCTGCGCCATTTCCCCACAGAGACAAACCTTTCTGAGATCTGCTTTCCATAATTGCCACTAGCCTGTCGCTCCCCACGGGAGCAGAGTGTCCCTCTGATCAGGGGGAACACAGCTGGCAGGGAGGCAGGAGGGTTTGCTGAGCCACTGTCTCCTTCAGCAGTTCACACAAGGTTGTTGTCTATGGGAACAGGAAGAAGAAACTGAGCAGAGGAAAGATTAAGGAAAGAGTTGCCTGGAACAAAGAAATTCCTTCGTTTGAAATAGAAGTTGCACAGCCTCAGGAGCCAAAGGATGGATGCTGTGCCCGCCTCTCAGCTCAGGGCTGGTCCCCACAAGGACCAGCACAGGCGGCCAAATCTGCTAATCTGATCCCCAAAATATTACATTCTCACCTCTGCTTGGGAGAAGCAAGTTAAGCATGTCAGTCCTTCATCTCTATCCTCTGCTGTCACTCCAACAAAGGAGGGAGACAAGAAGATCCTGGCAGTGTCAGAGGTTCTTGGGTTCTTTAACCAAGCAGGACCCATGAAAAGGGACTGACCACCCCTTTTGGAGGTTGGATCACATGCAAAAACAGAGAGTCCATCCACCCAGCTGGCTGATTTCAGTGCTGAATTACTATGAGAATCAGTACAAAAAGCCACAGCAATACATTTTACTGTCTATGCCACGTTGTGGGTACACACAACCCAGAGCCTTCATGGTAATGCCACATCCCAGTGGCAGCAGGGGCAGAAAACATGAGGCCTGAATTCCCACCTAGGTGAAAACCACTGGCAGCTCCCCCAGCTGCCAGGAGAAGGCTGGGCTGAAGGCTGGAGAAAGGCTGTGGGAGATGCTGGGTGAAGGGGATGCTGGATGAAGGGGATGGAGAATGTTGGATGAAGGGGATGCTGGATTAAGGGGATGGAGGATGCTGGATGAAGGGGATGCTGGATTAAGAGGATGGAGGATGCCGGGTGAAAGGGCTGGAGGATGCTGGTGCAGGGACCGGGGGATGCCACGTCCCCGGCCCGGCGCAGGGACAGTTCCGCAGGATCTGCCGCTCCCCCTGTTGATGTCACACAGAGTTGCAAGTGCTCCACAGCCCAGAGCACCGGACCCAAACCATCTCCGGCTGAACCCAAAACCCAAGCCCCCAAAAAACCGATGGCTGCTTTCAAGGGCGTTCAGCTGGAGCTGCCAAAGGCACAGAGCAAACCTGGCTGGCACCATGCCACCAAAATGTTCACGCTTCTCTTCTTTTTGTGTTCTCATTTTGCAGTGAGAAGGGGAATAATGCATATGTGAGCAGGAGGGATCCCCAGGGATCAAGCCACAGAGCCCAGGTCGTATGCAGGCAGCCCAGCCTCCATGCCTGCTTTTTCCATACGTTTTAAGGGAATAGATATCCTCCCAAGAATTGTTCTTATTCCATCAAATCAGCAAGATTTTCTTCCCCAGTGGAAAGTTTCTATCAGATATCCAGCAACCAGCTCTTTCTCTGACCTATTTGCAAGCCCCAAGCCACTCTCCACCACCTACTGCTTGAAAGCTTTGATAATTCAATGAGATGTTAATTCTGACATCCAGCATAACTCTCAATACAAAACCTTCTCTCTTTTTTTTTTTTTTTTCTTTAATTATCATTAATTACAATCCAGGAGTAATGAATCCTCTGCACAGACTTTGCCTTCCAAGCACCCAGCAGCACTTTGCTGCACAACTCCCATTAAGTCAATGTGTATTAAGTAGGTTTTGACAGTTCTGTGTGCTCTGAGGTGGGCAAAGCCAGGAAAAGACAAGGCAGCACAGCTCTGCCGTAGGGACTGAGGCACAAGGCTGAGTCCAGCCTGGTCAACACATGGAGGTGTCAGCACACATGTGCTTAAAACACACTGCAAAAGGGCACCGTCACTTTTAAGAACGTCAGGATCATCTGTTGGGGCAAAATCCTGCTCTAAATGCAGAGGGTTGTTAGTGAGATCCCATGTGCCTTTTCAGGGCACATGGCCTGTGAGACAGACACACACCATGCTGGGATCTTTTCCACCTTCATTTAAGAGCCTGCCTCGGTGGGGTTTGGCAGGGCTTGCCCCTGAGCAGGGTGCCTCTCCCTTTGCAGAGCCCTGATTCAAGGGAGATCAATATATTCTTTAGGCTGCACTTCTTCCAAGAATATTTTCATTGTTCCACATGCATATTTATCATTTATTTAAATCATCAAATAAAGACTGATTGGAAGCTGAAATCCCCAGGAGCATCTCTACAAACCTGGTCATGGACACAGGAACTGACTTAAAGCACGAGCAGAAGCCTAGGCTTTATTTGCCCTGCTGGAGCCAAGTAAACAGCCTGTGTGTTGGAAAACAAACAATTTTTACAAATCTTTCTGTTTTCATGACCAGGCCAACATTAGCAACAAGAAGGTGATAGTGAGAATGCAGAACTCCCTGTCTTCATCTCTTCCTTTATCTATTTTAAAAATAAAACACCTTCTCTGTGGTTGCTTTGGAGCAGCAGCCTTGCCTGAGCTGAGCGCATGCATTGCCTTCATTTATCCTCTGATTTGAATATAAATGAAAGCAAGTGAGTTAAAAAGGGAGCCTGGGGAGTTGTCTCTGCAGGCCTACAGCTGCTGGTGGCAGGGCTGGGTGGGCAGAGGCCTGGAGCCTCACCTCAGTGTGCAGGAGGAACATCCACAGCATCACCCAAAGGTGACAAATTCCTCCTTCACTGGGTCCCACTCGCTCACACACTGTGCTCACGGGGAATTTGCCCTTGAACATGTCTCTGAAATAATGCTGTTGCTTTAAAGGTGAGCCCAGGAGAGCCCTGTCACTGCAGTCAGCTGAGCCCTGAGCATCCCTCCCTCCAGCTCCCTGCAAATCCACCCAGGAGGGGCCTTGGATCCAGGTGTGGATGAGAAGGGACACACCTTTACCTGGCCATGAGCCCCCCGCAGCCTCTGCAGCCTCACACACCTTTTTATCTGCACAAAGCACTGCAGGGAAGCAGGGAACAGTTGCTGTCCTTGTTGCAAATTCCCAGACAGCAGCAGAAGTCCCAGCCCTGGTGAACGGGGCTGCAACGTTGTGTGCTGCAGCCAGCACCACTCCTACATGAACACAAACAAACCTGGCATTGGCACAGGTCTGCTGCCACCTCAGATCAATGCAATCAGCTGCCAGACCACCC